ATGGATGGATGATGGATGGATGGATGGATGGATGATGGATGGATGGATGATGGATGGATGGATGGATGATGGATGGATGGATGGATGATGGATGGATGGATGATGGATGGATGATGGATGATGGATGGATGGATGGATGATGGATGGATGGATGGATGGATGATGGATGGATGGATGGATGATGGATGGATGGATGGATGATGGATGGATGGATGATGGATGGATAATGGATGATGGATGGATGGATGATGGATGGATGATGGATGGATGATGGATGGATGGATGGATGATGGATGGATGATGGATGGATGATGGATGGATGGATGGATGATGGATGGATGGATGGATGATGGATGGATGGATGGATGGATGATGGATGGATGGATGATGGATGGATGGATGGATGATGGATGGATGGATGGATGATGGATGGATGGATGATGGATGGATGATGGATGATGGATGGATGGATGGATGATGGATGGATGGATGGATGGATGATGGATGGATGGATGGAATAGATAGATATAGATAGATGTTGCAGTATCTATAACAACCCAAACACAGGATTTCAGAATTAGACATCCCCAGTTATTAATTTCATACACTCGCAAAAGTAGCGCAATAGTTACTTTTACTAGTAACTAGTTACTTTTATTGTGGAGTAACTCAGTTACTAACTCAATTACTTTTTGGGAGAAGTAACTAGTAACTATAACTAATTACTTTTTCAAAGTAACGTGCCCAACACTGGTTAGATGACAGCGGAGGGAAAACATGGATGTTTTTTCTGAATCTTTTAAAACAGAAACAAACCAGTTGCTTTCTGGGCCACAAATTTAATCTCTGTATAAATTGTACTGTAAAGCTCACAGTTAGGGAAATGTCATGTTCACAGATGCTCTCTGTCCGAGTGATGGGATTTTGAGTGATTCTGCAAAAGTCACTAAATACGTGGACTAGGGATGTAAATCACATCCATCATGGCGATTCGATTCAGTATCGATTTCCTGACCCAACGATTCGATTATTTTCGATACTCAAGAATACACGACGATTCGATTCGATTAATCGATTAATCTGTTAATTTTTTTTTATTATTATTTTTTTTTTTTACACCTTACAGGCTAAACAAAGTTTCAAGTTTGAAATAAATCAATGAAAGCTGTAATATCATTATGCATTTTCTTGAGAAACAACAGCAAATAACAGAAGTAGAAAAGTTGCATCAAAAAATACTGCAAAAATACTGCACAATATCAGTGTAATGAGTTCAATGCAATACCTAGGCTCCAGAGAAACTGTCCAACATATTTTTTTAGTAATAAATATACTCAGGAAAGAGAGATGTTGCTTAGAGAGTTAGACAGGAATAAAAATAAACTAGATATAAGGGAATTGTTTCAAAGGTCATCTGGGGATGTAGTTTTTGGTAGTATTTTTTAATTTTCTAAGAAGAACGGGTATTTTAGGGAGAATATAATAGTTTGTCTGGTCCATACTCCATTCTGGAAGGTGGCGGTAATGCACCTATAAGTTGTTTGCCAACCGCCATTAAAAAAAAGAAGAAGAAGAAGGCTCCAGAGTGTTGACATCACCGCCCCCTTGAGAGACGCTCCGCTGCTCCTCTCCCAGATTGTAGCTGACCGCAAACAGTGCCGCAGACAGGAGGCCGGCTTGTTTTGTTTTTATGACCGAAATTGCGGAAAACAACTCGTGAAGTTTGACCCGCCAGAAGAGCGAGGTGCGCGAGAACGCTGGGACCCTTTTTCCACCTGGATCTCCGCTCTTTTTGGCCCTCATGTCCCTCCGTCGTCGGACTAAACTCGCCCCCACTTCCTCACCGCCTCGGCCGTATCTAGACCCACAGTGTGTAGCTCAGACCACGCTTCAATACTGAGCATATTTTAAAAAGGTCTGTGTGAGGCTTGCTGCAACAAACTGCTGTAAGAGTATAACCAGGAAGCGCGGTAGGAGGGCAGAATAGGTTTAGCGCCACCGCAGCACGGGAGGGAGAATTACGCCCAGGAGCAAATGGATAAAAATAGACCGGAGGAAAAAAAAAACATGAATCGATTATCTTGCGGACGTGTCGATGCATCGGATCGTCGGCTTTTGGATCGATGCATCGATACAAAACGATTATTATTTACACCCCTAACGTGGACACGCTGGAGGGACTACGTCTCTCTGCTGACCTGGGGGCGCCTCAGTCTTCCCCCAGCAGTCTGTGGAGAGGCAACTCTGGGAGACTCTGCCGAGATTGTTGCCCAGGCGACCCGGATAAAGCAGAAGACAACGCGTACGATTGTGAGCCAATAGTGAAGCATGGCAGGGGCTTAGTGACATGGCCGCGGGAAGCGGGGGTTCCCCCTAGTGACGAGAGGGAGATATGAAAATAAAAAAAATAAAAATATTCTGCACAATTTATACATTTCTCATGACTATTTTGGGAAATTATATTGCGTGTGTTTTTCATGGGGGGGTTTGCATTTTTCCAACTTTGAAAAAAATGCTCAAATGTAGTGAGCGGCTGAAGCTTTAAATTATGAAACCCAAAACACATGAAGTGAGAACATTAACAGGTGAGCAGGGAAGAAATTGTGGTTTTGTGTTAATATCCGTTTCATGCAAAGCATTGTGGGATTCCTTCTAGCATCCAAGTTATTTTAATTTTCTCTCATCCTTGATAGAAAAACAGAAACGGCTAACATTTTATTTTATTTTTTTAAGATTTTAAATCAAATATTAGCTTGTTTTTTGGTTTTCTTTGAGGAAAATCTAAAGACTAAATGATCCTCTGAGCTTCTCTTTACCAAGAACCAAAGACGCTTGGAAAAGCGTTTCAAACATGTATTTAGGGATTGTAGTTTGAGAAATTACTCCCAAAATGTGTTATGTTGAACATTCTTTCTTTTTCTCCTTTTTTTTTAAAATAACATCTTTATTTATTATACCTGATCTTGATTTGTGGTAAAATATTTTAAGGTGAAAGAACATGCATCGCTGTCTACAACGGCTCCAAAAAGCATTACACAGACTCGGCTGTTAATTAGCATCAGATACAAGCCGGCAGTTCTGTTTAATTGGTCATTTGCTAAACCTGTAGCGTCTACCGTATTTTCACAACCATAAGGCGCACCGTACTAAAAGGCGCACTCTCAGTTATGTGTCCCATTTCTGTATTTAACACACACATAAGGCGCACCGGACTATAGGGCGCGTTTTTTATATACAGGTAAATGTCCTCTACTACCTTTAAATACCTCTACTGCGTATTTAAAAATACAGCGGGGGCAAAACTGAGTATGACTGTGCCTTATTCATGTATTTATTACAAAGTATTAATCAAACCTGGCAGCTGGCCGTGAGACAGACCAACATCGCAGATGACACAGCGCTGTGATCACTCCTAAATTAACTTAAAATCCTGAAACCTGCCGACGGAATATGTTCGCTTTTATTGCCGGTATCCTGGTGCCTGCAGTTTAAATTGTTTAGATGAAAAACACCTGCCAGCCGCCGCGGTGAGGCTGCTGTTGAAGGGATTTACTGTCGGTGCACCGCTGGTATGTGGGGGTCTGAGCGCCTCCGACAGAAATAGTATAGGCACGATAATAATCTGGATGAACTGACTGCAATTATTAAGTTTTCAGGTGGTCTTTCTCACTTAAAAACATATTAAAACTACTTTATTCCCACTGATCACAGCAAATATAGCTGCAAGATTTAGATTATTTAGATGAAAAAACACCTGCCAGCCACCGCGGTGAAGAGGAGGAGACCCGCCCAGAGGCTGCTGTTGAATTAAGTTTTCAGGTAGAAAAATAGAGCGGGAGCAAAACTGAGTATGATTGTGCTTTATTCATGTATTTATTACAAAGTATTAATCAAACCCATCAAAGTCATCATCCTCTGTTTCTGAATTAAACAGCTGCGCTAAATCAGGCATGCCAGTTTCCCCTTCTTCGCTGTGAGAGTCATTTTCCGTGCAGCGCGGCTCCTCAGAAATAATGCCGGCTTTTGCAAAAGCTTGAACAACAGAGCCAGCAGACACGTTAGTCCAAGCATCAACAATCCATCCGCAAACTGTGGCGTAACTTGCCCGGCGCTGCCTTCCACTTATCCTGAAACTGTGGTCTCCGTCTGTCATCCATCGCTCCCACGCCGCTCGCAGCCTTACTTTGAACGGCCGCTTCACACCGATGTCGAGCGGTTGAAGTTCCTTTGTTAGACCCCCGGGATAACAGCGAGCACAGCGTTCATTTGATTCACCTTTTTTTCACATCGGCTGTGAGATGGGCACGCAGCGATGGTGATGCGTGGAAAAAAGCACCTGGTCTCCTCACATACACCTGCCTTTCATCATCTCCTCATCCATCCAGCCCGTTTCATTTGCGTTAATATATGTCATCAGAGCGCTGTGTCTGTCTTGCTGTCAGCTCCCAGATCAGCTTCTCTGATTGGTTGATGCGGCGCGTCCAGCAGCAAAACTTCAATTTTTCCATCTCAAGCAGCAGCAGCGCGTTGGCGGTGCGTCAGATGCTTAAACGCTCCCGACGTGCTGCACCTGCAGCTCAAAACGCGCTGCGGGACCTTTTGCTGCACCTATACGCGCGTCAACCATTGACTTTGCATGTAAACTCGCTGCTTCTGCTGCACCTGCTGGGTCCGGTTCACACCGATGTCGAGCGGTTGAACAGCGAGCACAGCGTTAATTTGTTTCCCCATGTTTTTGACATCAGCTGTGAGATGGGCACGCATGGAGTCACATATTAACAGCGATGGTGATGAGTGGAAAAAAACCACCTGGTCTCCTTACATTCAGCCACTCTTTCATCATCTCCTCAATGAGGTGGTCTCAAAAGTCGCAGTTACAACACACATAGGGCGCACCGCACCAAAGGGCGCACCGCACATTTTGAGGGGGAAAAAAGACGTTTAAGTGCGCCTTATAGTCGTGAAAATGCGGTAATTGTCTTTTTGTAATGTGTGCTCAGCCAGGGACGGTGAGTGCCATGGACTATGGGCTGGAGCGGAGAACCGATCCTAATGCAGACGAGGTAACAGGTGAGTCTCTGGCTGACCTACATGATCATAATTCTTCTCAATCAGCTTATAACCAGTATGAGCCTCTAATGCGGGAATGAACCTGCATGGGATTTTACTTGCTTTTGATATTGATTCCTTTTTTTTTGCTTTTGTTCTTTTCTCCACTACAGGCATTTCCCCATGGCTCTATTGTTTTCAACCTGCTGTTACATATAGCAACCTGCACAATCTCTTTCTAACCTCCAATACTAATTTGAATAAAAATTAAACCACCTTAATAGTTAAAATATGGGCTTTAATGTCTTGTACCCGTTTTTATCCTCAGACACAAACACCGGACGACTACGAGAGAATTGTAAGTTTGGTTTTCACTTTTACAACTTTTGCCTCTTGCTTTATGGATCAGCTAAACATGGTCCTTTCTTTTGCTTTGCCTCCCCTGCTGTAGATGATCTTCACCCAGCAATCCATCATGAGGCCCAGAGTGAAGTCATCTGTGTCCATTGGCGCGTAAGACAGCCTTAGAGTTATATCACCTGCACTCTGATACCTGGAACATAGAAGTCCCATTTAGTTAACTCTCTTCAATTCAGATTAGTTTATTCACAACACACGTCATCTCAAGGCACTCATACAGTCAGACTGATTGTAGCGACAGTGCAGAGGACCACCGTTTCCATGGTTACTGTTGGTAACACACAAAGACATCATGGCTGGAAATCATTCATGGCACAGAAGGTTCCCCTGCTTAAACCAGCACATGTCAAGGCCCGTCTTAAGTTTGCCAATGACCATCTGGATGATGCAGAGGAGTTATGGGAGAAAGTCATGTGGTCAGATGAGACCAAAGTAGAAGTTTTTGGTCATAATTCCACTGACCGTGTTTGGAGGAAGAAGAATGATAAATACCATCCCGCCATCCCTACTGTGAAGCATGGGGGTGGTAACATCATGCTTTGGGGGTGTTTTTCTGCACATAGGACAGGGCGACTGCAATGTATTAAGGAAAGGATGAACGGGGCATTTGTTTCAGTTAGAGCATTGAAGATTGGTGGAGGCTGGGTCTTCCAGCATGACATTGAGCCGAAGCACACAGCCAAGGATAACCAGGTGGTCAAATGCTTCTTTGCAGGTGAACCATAAAAAATAAATAGTTAAAAAATCAATCATTGAGATTCCTATATATATATATATATATATATATATATATTTTTTTTTTTGGTGTTTATCTGATTGTGTTAATTATTTTCCCCCCAATAAATGAAGAAATGTCATAATTTATTATCTAGAGACTATTAATAACAGGAGGTGAAATGCAGCTCCAGACTAGCTTTGAATGTGGTGATGTCATCAGTACGCTTCTGTTCCAATTGACCCAGATTTATTCTGCGTGCTCCCGTTCTCCCAGAGTCCAGACTTCCCTGGGTTCTTCTCAAGAACATACTTAGCAAGGACACAAGTCTATACTCATTTTCTTCTGAATTGAGAATCGCAGTCTGAAGAGTCCTCCCTTGCTAGCAGGGACATGTGTCTGTTGCCAGTGGTTTGTTCATGAAGAAACAGGAGGTTCCACTATGTCCTTGAAGATCCCCTAGTGACTGCATTGTAACCTTAAAACAAAACATTTTATTCCTGCAATCATTGAACTCTCATACTGATTGACTCTACACAGCAACAGGTGGGGAAGGGGGTGCACCAATCCAGAATACATTCGAGGAGGAAACTCTGATTGGTCCTTCTAAGCAATTTCAGCTTAATCGGAATAAACATAAAACATAGTTCAACTTGTCTTAAATCTTGTATTCGTTGTAATCTGGACTGGGTCGCAGTCTCAGGAGAAACTCCCAGACCTCCCTCTCTGCAGACACCTGCTCCAGCTCTGCTGCGGGAACCCCGAGGCAGTCCGGAGCTACCTCAGAGACATGGTCCTTCAGTATGCCCTGAGCCTTGGCCTCCTCCAGATTAAACATGTCTGGAACACCTCCGCCAAGAGGCTGGGAGGGGTTACAGCCGATTGGGTAGCAGCTGGCTGGAGATCTGCTCTTCCAGTCTGAGTAAAAAGTTCTTGACCTGAAAAAGGGTTGCCCGTCCCCTTCAGGTCAGGAGAGTTCCTGCCTTAAGTATCTTGGTGCATTTGGTGCGTTTTAAATCTCCTTAGGCTCATGTTCGTTCATTTGTTCGCTCCTTCCTTTGTTTGTTTGTTCATGCCTTGGTTCGTTCGTTCCTTGGTTTGTTAATGTTTTCCTTTGTTATTTCCTTTGTTCAATCGTTCCTTCCTTTGTTCATTCGTTCCTTTTTGGTTCCTTCCTTCCTTTATTCATTGGTCCATTCCTTTCTTGCTGTGTTTATTGGTTTGTTTCTTTCTTGTTTCCTTTGTTCGTCGTTCGTTAGTTTGTTCGTTCCTTCCTTCCTTTGTTCATTCGTTCCTTTTTGGTTCCTGCCTTCCTTTATTCCTTGGTCCGTTCCTTTCTTGCTTTGTTTATTGGTTTGTTTCTTAGTTTCTTTCTTGTTTCCTTTGTTCGTTAGTTCCTTTGCTTGTTTTTGTTTGTTTGTTCATTCCTTGGTTTGTTAGTTCGTTCCTTGGTTTGTTCCTTGGTTCGCTCGTTCCTTCATTCGTTCGTACCTTCATTAGTGTTTTCCTTTGGTCTTTCGTTCCTTCCTTCCTCCTGCAAAGCATTCTGTGACTAAACAAGCAAACGGTCGGACAGAACAAACAGGCAACGGCTGAATGATTACGATTCTTACCCAAGAATTTTATGAGGAAATCCTTAGAAGGACAAAGACTGATAAAGTCCTTATCTCCTATATTACAGACTGGTGAAGTATTGCTCCACCTATAGTGGTCACGACCCATTCCTCTCCAAGTGTCTTCCCAGCAACCCATGGCTAACTGACGATACAACATTCTGGGCCCTGAACATGCCTAAGTGAGTTGGCCAATGACCACACCGTTCTCTGAATACTGGGCTTGTTAAACAGCCTCATTTTACTTCTATGGGGTTTTACTTTGTGCCATAGTGTGGAAATACCAACCAAGATGCGTGTGGAGAGGTGGACGTTCAGCTTTAAGGAGCTGCTCTCAGATCCTCGAGGGCGAGATGATTTCAGACTCTTCCTGAAGAAGGAATTCAGCGGTAAGGATTGTATTTACAACAAATGAGCAACAAAAGTATGAACTTTAATGCCTAATTCAACTTTTCTGGGTATTTTTAGGTGAAAATTTGGCGTTCTGGGAAGGCTGTGAGGATCTGAAGTGGGGCACAGCTGTGGCAATGAAAGAGAAAGCAGAACATATTTATAAGTATTGTCTAAATATCTTCTTTTTCTACGATCTTTTGTTTTGGTGTCTATATTCTAAAAAATCTTTAGTCCTACTGTCAGAATCTTTACACTCATTTTAGATTTCTATTTGTTTTAGGTCTGTGAGTGGGCACTCGTTAAGAAAATACCTTTACAGTACATCCCAGCTTTAAAAAGTCTTATCTTTACTTCTTCCGCATTTTTTTCCTAGGACATTTTTGGCACGTGGTGCTCCGCGGTGGATCAACATCGATGGAAAAACAATGGAGATCACAGTGAAGGGTCTGAAGCACCCACACAGATACGTACTGGATGCAGCCCAGACTCACATCTACATGCTAATGAAGAAGGTCAGTGAACACATCAGGAGTCGGGCCTCAGGAGTGGCCGTGTTTGTTTGATAATGAAGCTGTCACTGGAAGCAAAAAAGAAAACAAAACCCCTGCATAATTTGGAGATGAGTCATTATAGTTAAACCTTTATTCACCTCTCGTGATTGATGGGCACCTTTCTTTCTTCCGTTCTTTCCTTGCAGGACTCTTATGGGCGTTACCTAAAATCTCCAGTGTTTAAGGAAACCTTAAAGAAAGCCATCTGTCCTGATGGGCACAGATTCAAGTGAGCAAAAGCTTTTGGATCTTTTAAATATATTTGAATTTGACAAAAAAAAAGGTTTAATTTGCCTCATTAAGGTCGTAAGAAAACAGCTGTTCCAACCGCTTCTCCCGAATTCTCCTGAATGGTGCCCGAGTTTACGCATGTGCATAAAGTGAATGTGATTGGTCGTTATCAAGGGGGCGGGATTGTTGTGACGGAAGGTTCGCAAGCAAGTTTGGTTGTGGCCGGTTTGTCGGAAGCATCTTGCTAACCAGTTAGCAACTTAGCGCTAGTAGGTTCCCAATGGGAAATTCCATTGGGACCAAGTAGCACTAAATTGGTGACTTAGAAACTACGCTGTCAAGGAACGCTATGGACAGCGGAAACATGCAAGAGGAGGAGAGTTTAGTGTGGGAGGTCGTGGATGAGTCTCCTCAGTCATCCATTTTTTATTTAGAGGAGGAAAGCGGGGACGAAGATGTTGTGGAAGAGGACGCCAGGGCGGCAGAAGCTTGGTTTGGTGTAGAAGGCTTCCATCCGTACATGTTTGAGCCCTTGCCTCGCAACGCTGCCAGTTCTGTTAGCTCTACGCCTGCCGAAGATACAGACGTCCATCCCCGTGAACACTGGGATGCAACTCAGTGGGAAAGGAAAGGATTCTGGTTTCAACCGTTGCGTATATTAGCTGCGACATATGGATCAAGAAGCTATGACCGAAAAAATTTGATTGACAGATGACCGTTGATATATGATTGGCCAAATTAATGTGTTCAGGCTGACGTAGAACTAACTGGCCTGCAGAAGATAACAAAAAAAACAACAACCTGATTTTAAGACAGGATTATTTTTCTAACTTTTGGAACAATATCGTCTGATAAAGAGTACATTTATATACATGTTTAAGCCAGAATGATCTGACATTTAAATATGACTTCCCTACGACTTTAACAAGATCCCCATCAGAAAATTAACTTTGTTTTCTTTTACCCCAGTGAAGTCCAGCTGGAGCAGAACGCCAGGAACAGACGGCCCAGCCTCAGCCCCATCATCATCCGGCAGCAGGAGCAGGAGCAAAGGGCCAAGATGGCCGCCAGTGCCCCCGTTGATATTACACAGGTCATGAGCAAACTCAGCAAGCAGGGCAAGGAGATGGGTCCTCGCCATTCCAAGTGAAAACCCCTCCTGTTCAGCGACAAGGATTAGAATGTCTGCTTTTTTACTTTTGCAATGTCTAATTTTTTTCAATTAAAGCTGTTAATATTTAGATAAACTTCCTTTTTATGGTGTCAGCATTCTGCCAAAAGTCCACAAATGCAATAAATATTCCTAGGAGCAGCTTTACTTCATTGGGGAATGCTCAAAGGAGTTTTTGTGCTTGTGGACTTTTGGCAGAATTCTAACACCATACATTTTGCTCTCGAATTTTGGCAATAATAAAAAAAAGAAATATATGATAGTAAAGCTATTACTTTGAGGAAATACATCTACTGTGAAATACAGGTGCTGGTCATAAAATTAGAATATCATGAAAAAGTAGATTGATTTCAGTAATTCCATTTAAAAAGTGAAACTTGTATATTATATTCATACATTACATACAAACTCATATATTTCAGATGTTTATTTTGTTTAATTTTGATGATTACAAATGACAACAAATTAAAATCTCAAATTCATCATATCAGAAAATTAGAATATTACTGAAGACCAATAAAAACAAAGGATTTATAGAAATGTTGGCCAACTGAAAAGTATGAACATGAAAAGTATGAGCATGTACAGCACTCAGTATTTAGTTGGGCCTCCTTTGGCCTGTATTACTGCAGCAATGCGGCGTGGCATGGAGTCGATCAGTCTGTGGCACTGCTCAGGTGTTATGATAGCCCAGGTTGCTCTAATAGTGGCTTTTAGCTCTTCTGAATTGTTGGGTCTGGTGTATTGCATCTTCTTCTTCACAATACCCCATAGATTTTCTATGGGGTTAAGGTCAGGAGAGTTTGCTGGCCAATTAAGTCCAGGTAACCAGGTACTGGTAGCTTTGGCACTGTGTGCAGGTGCCAAGTCCTGTTGGAAAATGAAATCTGCATCTCCAAAAAGTTGGTCAGCTGCAGGAAGCATGAAGTGCTCTAAAACTTCCTGGTATGTGGCTGCGTTGACCCTGGACCTCAGAAAACACAATGGACCAACACCAGCAGATGACATGGCACCCCAAACCATCACTGACTGTGGAAACTTTACACTGGACTTCAAGCAACGTGGATGAAGTGCCTCTCTTCTTTTCCTCCAGACTCTGGGACCTTGATTTCCAAAGGAAATGCAAAATTTACTTTCATCAGAGAACATGACTTTGGACCACTCACCAGCAGTCCAGTCCTGTTTCTCTTTAGCCCAGGCAAGACGCTTCTGACGCTGTCTGTGGTTCAAGAGTGGCTTGACACAAGGAATGCGACAGCAGAAACCCATGTCTTTCATACGTCTGTGTGTGGTGGTTCTTGAAGCACTCACTCCAGCTGCAGTCCACTCTTTGTGAATCTCCCCCACATTTTTGAATGGGTTTTGTTTCACAATCCTCTCCAGGGTGCGGTTATCTCTCTTGCTTGTACACTTTTTTCAACCACATCTTTTCCTTCCCTTCGCCTCTCTATTAATGTGCTTGGACACTGAGCTCTGTGAACAGCCAGCCTCTTTAGCGATGACCTTTTGTGTCTTGCCCTCCTTGTGCAAGGTGTCGATGGTCGTCTTTTGGACAACTGTCAAGTCAGCAGTCTTCCCCATGATTGTGTAGCCTATAGAACTAGACTGAAAGACCATTTAAAGGCTTTTGCAGGTGGTTTGAGTTAATTAGCTGATTAGAGTGTGGCACCAGGGGCCATCAATTTTGAACCTTTTCACAATATTCTAATTTTCTGATATGATGAATTTGAGATTTTCATTTGTTGTCATTTGTAATCATCAAAATTAAACAAAATAAACATCTGAAATATATGAGTTTGTATGTAATGTATGAATATAATATACAAGTTTCACTTTTTAAATGGAATTACTGAAATCAATCTACTTTTTCATGATATTCTAATTTTATGACCAGCACCTGTATATCAAAGGAGTCATAACCTGGATCCTTCTGGATAGATGGTTGGCAACATTAGGGCTAATGTTAGCATAATGATAGCAACGCAGGCTAAAGTTAATATAATGATAGCACGGCGGGCTAATGTTAGCATGATGATAGCCAGCCTGGGTAATGCTAGCAAAACTGGCTAATGTTAGCATGATAATAGCAACACAGGCTAATGTTAATATGATGATAGCAAGGCGGGCTAATGTTAGCACGATGATAGCAACTCAGGCTAATGTTAATGTGATGATAGCAAGGCGGGCTAATGTTAGCATGATGATAGGAAAGTAAACCAATTTTAGCACGGTGATAGCCAGGCAGCCTAATGTTAGCATGGTTATAGCTAGGCAGGCTAATGTTAGCATGGTTATAGCCAGACAGGCTAATGTTAGCGTGGTTCTAGCTAGGCAGCCTAATGTTAGCATGGTTATAGCCAGAAAGTGGACCAATTTTAGCACGATGATAGCCAGGCAGCCTAATGTTAGCATGGTTATAGCTAGGCAGGCTCATGTTAGCATGGTTATAGCCAGACAGGCTAAAGTTAGCATGGTTATAGCCAGACAGGCTAATGTTCGCGTGGTTCTAGCTAGGCAGCCTAATGTTAGCATGGTTATAGCCAGACAGGCTAATGTTAGCCTGGTTATAGCTAGGCAGCCTAATGTTAGCATGGTTATAGCTAGGCAGGCTAATGTTAGCATGGTTATAGCCAGACAGGCTAATGTTAGCATGGTTATAGCCAGATAGGCTAATGTTAGCGTGGTTCTAGCTAGGCAGCCTAATGTTAGCATGGTTATAGCCAGACAGGCTAATGTTAGCCTGGTTATAGCTAGGCAGCCTAATGTTAGCATGGTTATAGCTTGGCAGGCTAATCTTAGCATGGTTATAGCCAGACAGGCTAATGTTAGCATGGTTATAGCCAGACAGGCTAATGTTAGCGTGGTTCTAGCTAGGCAGCCTTATGTTAGCATGGTTATCGCTAGGCAGGCTAATGTTAGCAAGGTTATAGCTAGGCAGCCTAATGTTAGCATGGTTATAGCTTGACAGGCTAATGTTAGCATGGTCATACGTAGCTAGGCAGCCTAATGTTAGCATGGTTATAGCTATGCAGGCTAGTGTTAGTATGGTTATAGCTAGGCAGGCTAGTGTTAGCATTTCTCCATTAATGGTGCAAAAACTGGTGGAGGATCACACAGATGGCGCTCTTTTCTGGTTTAAACAAAGATGCCACACTAAAAAAAAAGAAAACCAAGTCACTTTTTAAACCCCTGATTTTCCGTCAGGTTTTAGCTGAAACCCAAGAGTAGCACTCGTTTTAACATGGAAAAACACAGATATCTGGGTAATGATTCCTATAGAAATATGTTGGCTATAATAACAAACGTGTATATACTAATTATAATCCAACCCCAGTGAGAGGCTAAGACTTTAATTTAACAACATCTAAATAAAATAGAGAGGGACAGAATTTATTTTGTCATTTTGTACACAGAAGTGTAAACAAAAAGAAATTTCGTTAAGAACAGCTCTCTAGACTTTTTCATTTTTTAAAGTGCAGCCTTGATAAGGTCAGCAGCAGTGATAAACAAAAAATTGTGATGAAAAACAATAAATAAAGTAATAATGAGCTGTATTATATATAACATAAATAACCAGGGGCAGAGGAGTCTCCTGTCTTTTCAGTGTCATCTCATAATGTCTGTTCTCCAATATCCATTTCTTTGTCTTTCTGTTTTCATTGTTCCCCTTGTCTTCCATCATAAGTTAATAAATCTTAATAAATTACCTCATTTTTATGTGTTTGTGTTTTTTAACTGTTCTCATTAAATCATCTTGAACGTTGCTCTTGAGGACCCTTCCTTCCTTCCTTCCTTCCTTCCTTCCTTCCTTCCTTCCTTCCTTCCTTCCTTCCTTCCTTCCTTCCTTCCTTCCTTCCTTCCTTCCTTCCTTCCTTCCTTCCTTCCTTCCTTCCTTCCTTCCTTCCTTCCTATGTAGAGTAGGACAGTATATTTCTGTCATGTGGCACGCTGGCTTTGCTTTCTACAGATTTCCTCTCACTATTGTCTTTTGACCTTTGACCCCACAGCTGTGCCGGTTTACCACTCCTGTCCCCCACCTTGCTGTTTACTCTGGAATCCCTGACCCACCCTCTGCCACCGCTTCACCCTCCCTTCCTTTCCTCGCCCACACCCCGGTCTGTCCGTCCCCCATCAGCGTGGCCTTAGACAGCACCTCGGTGTCGGAGCGGCGCCTAGAGGCCAGTGAGGGTGAGGGAAAGACGGAGGCGCAGGCCCCCGATGGAGGAAGCTTGTCCAAGTCTCGAATGGCCCTGTCGTTGCGCCGTCTGCTGAAAAGAGGCTGCAGCCCCTCCGCCATGTTTGCCAGCCTGTCACCTAAATGCCACACAGCAGCCACGACAAGCAGTCGCATTCAGCCAATCACGCCGGAGGAGCCCAGCCACGCTCCCCCCAGGAGAATCGGCAAGTAAGTTTCACTGGCAAACACTGTCCTCAGTGTTTAATCTGATGTGATGCTTCATGTGGTTTAAAAACTGATTGAACACTTTAGTTCATGCTGCGCAATCAGCAGAGAGCATAATAAACATCACTGATGTTTCCACTTAAAGAAAGTGCCTCATTCAGCCCCAGAGGAGGTGGAAATAATGGAAAAACACAAGAGACAAAAAACAGGCTAGGCAGCTAAAGAAAAATGGCATTGTATAACATCAAAATATCTGTACATTTTCTTTCAGTATTTATTTACAGCTAAACACAAACAGTTAAAATTCTGTTCAAAGTTTTTGTTTTATTTTTGAATAATTTGTTTTAGGACATATATTTTTTCTAAAGCAAAAGCAGCATTGTTGACCATCAAACCTGAAAAGACAACCAAAGTCCTCTGTGTGATATCTTCTAGCTTTTTCCAGATCAAAGTAGACATTCCCCCGGAGTGCAGGATCTACCCCATTGAGTCTGAGGATGAGGAGGAGGAGAACAGGCCTGCCTCACGGGACCGATTAGGAACCGAGGAGATTATCTGTCCCTGGGAGAGCCTCACTCGACAGAACGGGACAGGCTAATTGGCTGGATTTTTACAGCTCTTTCTACACCACCAGACTCTTAAGGGTGGAATATATAACCCAAATGCAAACAACATAAAGACCTGCATAAATCACTCAGTCTGGGACACCGAACGATGAGAAGTCATAGAGGGTCTATTTCTTACTCTATTTCCTGTCCAACATAATGAAATAATTAAGCTGCAAAAGAAAATCTAGATATTAGCTATTGAAAGGAATGCTGCAAGAGTAGGGTTCAATGCCTCATGAGGCTTCATCTCACCATCACTACTCTATCTCACCCACTGCCGCATGTCTAGTGACAGCATTGATTCAGTGTGACAGAAATCAGGAAAGTAAACAATGGAGAGTAGCATGGAAGGAAGCAAGTGCATTGTCAGGGTGTGCTCCATGTTTATCGAATGTAAACAGAGTTGTTTCTGTTTGTTAGATCAGAAGCAGCTGGTGCGGCGTGTTGAGTTCCGTACGTTGCGTTCAACAGTATTACGTAATTTAGCGGGTCGACCATGCTCCGGTGTTCCCACAACATGCCGATCGGAGCGGAGGAGATTTTAAAGAGGGTCGCTTGCCGAGTCATTTGACCCGGGTAGACACGCGTCAGTTAGCTGTTCCCACTGCCACTAAAAGCCCATTGTTCCCGGGTTTAAACAATTTTTTTGGCCAGTTGCAAAGTGGTATAAAGGGTGATTTATACTTCTAAACTAGGTCCTCTGCGTCGGTGTTGCGATGAAAGCAGAGACGTCCCCGGCCCTATCGCAGACGCTCTGGTGCACCTCTCCCAAATTGTAGGTGACAACAGACAGTGCCGCAGACAGGAGGCATCTGATTGGTCAAATCTACATCCGCTCTACACTATGTGTATTTCCTGTTTGGTATAGGGGTGCACGATATTGTGATTTTGGCCGATATCCGATATGCCGATATTTTAAAACTCATGTAGCCGATAACCGATATCGATACCGATGTTAAAGCTGGACAAAAATAAGTAGTCATTGAAAATAGCAGTTTTGTTATCCATTTCTGACACTTTGAAAAATAATATACTCCAATATATTTTCATATGCTGATATCAAATAGATTTTTAAAAACGCGGTATCGATCTATTTTACTTTCAAGATCTCGTGAAATTTTATCGTTCTGTTACAAACTCTCGTGATATTTTGCAAATTCTTGTGAGATTTTGTTAGTAAAATAGATCGATACCGCGTCAATGTATCAACATATAAAAATATGGCAACATTTGGTGAATTTTCGGGGGATTTCGTAGCATAACGATGACATATAGCAATATTTCATTAGTAAAAGAGATTGATATGGTGTTTTTAAATGGCAATATATCAGCATATGAAGATATTGGGATATTTTAATGTATCAATATTTTTCCCTCGTCTTTAGAAGTTTTTAAGTCTGTAAAAAAGAAGTTTTTGAGGAAGAAGAAGAAGTAGTATTTTTGTTTTTGTTTTAGACTTTAGAAACTCAGAAGCTGATCAAATATCGGGTTAAATATCGGTGGGGTAGCCGATGTCCGATATTCAGTTTTAAGGCTGATACCGATAGGGGGCCGATTATATCGTGCATCCCTAGTTTGGTACCTTACTGGCTTGTTTTGTTAGTATGACAGCCATTACGGAAAACGACTCATGAAGTTGGACCAGCTAGGAGAGCGGGGTGCGCGAGAACACTGGGACCCTTTTTCCACCTGGATCCCCGCTCTTTTTGGCCCTCATGTCCCTCCGTTGTCAGACAAACTTGCCCCCACTTTCTCACCACCTCCGCCGTATCTTGACCCACAGCTAGTTCGTGATTGTCCCTATTTCTTTGTGGCGTAGAATAACCTAGCGCAGACCACGCTTCAATATTGAGCATAAGTCAAAATGTCTGCGCAATACCTGCAGCAAGCTCACTGCTACACACTGTGGTGAAAGGATAACCGCCCTTTAGCTTACCTTGGACTCCACTCATTCAGGGTAGGGTTAGCCTCAAGTGGAGGATTTCATGTGTCATTGTGGATTGAGGCTTTGTCTGTAGTAATCCAGGTAATACTCTGCTTTCTTGTGTTAAGAAAAACAGCAGCAATATAATGATCTACCTACATGTTATTCGACATGGATGATAACTAAGCTAACAAAAGCCTGATTATTAAGAGTTTTATAGAAAGGGTAAGGAGCTTTGTCTCTAGAGATAAGCTTGGAGTAGAGTTGCTGAAAAGGTCAATTTAGATTATTTCAACAGCTTATCATGCCTCTCAGACACAGCCTGTTCTTGGTCTGCCCCATTGGGAGAAGACCCCAGGGAAGACCTGGACTTGTTAGAAAGACTATTTACCTTCCAGCCTCAACGCATCTTGGGATTCTTAAAAAGGAGTGTAGGTGGGAAGAGGGATGTGAGAATTTCCCTCCTGGACATGTTATCTCTGTACTAATCTTGGATAAACTGGATTTTATGGATGCCTTTAATCTATTACCATAGGGAGCGGGGCTGTTTATATAATTTAGGTCATCACAGCGTGAAAAGAAATGGCCCAAAGTGTCGTAGAGCCTTACCGACCCAGACCGATTTAAGCCCCACCTGAGACCGGCCTGAGGCCTTGGTTGAACAAGGGCCCCTCCACCTGGGTACAGCAGAGTTTACTAAAGTTCAAGCATTTTCACAGATTGAACTGTAGCTTTTATACTGAAACCTTACCCTGTTACTGATGACGAACAGCAGCCTTAAACCACGCCGTAGCTTAGCCTCAGAACTTTCAGTGAACCAAGATGTCTACAGTTTCCAGAATGCCAAGGACAGAGAAGACATGCGTGATAAACGCAAAGATAAACATCGATTTATTTATACTGTTGTGCTTGTAAAGTGACATTTATTTAACAAGTGATTAAGTCTGAAACCTTCTGCAGTGAATAACCAAAGCAGACAGAGGCCTGTAGACTACGCTTTCACGTGCTTACTCTGATGTTTCTATAGACCTAATGACATAGAGTTCTCCTGTTCTGAAAAGTAGACTTAGAAGCCTCTTGGATTATTAAATTACCTCTTTTGTGAAAAAAACAAAAACAACCCAAAAAACTGAGCCAGTCCAATTTCTGGGTAAAATGGGAGCAAAGGAACGGGGCATGGTAAAAAGAAGATCATCCATCTTAATTCCAGGGTTTGTAGAAAATAACAGGAATTATTCGGTCTTGTGTTTTCAAATATTACATTTAAACTCAAATCTACTAAAACAGAATTACAGATTCCACATGTTCATTGTTTAATAAACAAAGATCAAGTAAAATGTGGGGAAGCTGTATGTGAAAATTAAACGTGTAGCAGGGAGCCAGCAGAACTACGTCATCCGCAAAGTCTCTCATGAGCGTACGAATCCAAAATGCTTTTCTGTGCGGTATTTCCTCCTCATTTCTGTCATTAGACTATGTACAGTTTGAGTTTTTACGGCACTGGTGGCTCGTTTTTCTGTTGGTAGGCGGAAAGGGGGTATTAGAGGGGGAGAGACATGTGGCAAAGGACCACAGGTTGGATTCGACCCCCGGGTTGGCCACGTTGAGGACTAAAGCCACTTTACATGGGTCATGCGCTTTAACCACTGCTCCATGTGGTTAATGTGTCATCGCAACAAGTTATGTTGCCATGACAACATAATTTGCATGAACTTGTGCTTAATTAAATTAAAAACCAAATACATGTAATAGTAAAATAGTGAAATAAAAAAGGCAAAAAAATTTTCATAAGAAATGTATCAATTGTGCAAAGTGTTTTTAACAATTTTTTTTAGCCTAGTAAACTAGCCCCTCCGCCAGCGGCCAAAATCATTTTTGCCTGCGAGTTGGTCTAGCCTCGATCAATGCCCAAGGCCAATCACAACGCAGAGATGTGTTTTGATTCTCTGGGTGGGGATTTGAGGGCGTGACAACAAAGCTGCGTGACGCTGGAGAAAGCACAACAATTATTGAACAGTTCTGGTTTGACTCAGCTTTGGAATCAGTTCTGGAAGAATTAGATTTGGGGTTTTCGTTGAAACGTGAGCAGGAAGAGGCTCTACGCTCCCCCACCAGCTTTCTGTCGCGCTTCCTACGTCACAGTCAGTAGCGCTCATTGGTCAGAGCGTTGGCCAATAGGCACAGACATGGTTTGAAAAACAACAGGTTGCTCTCATCAACAATCTTCCAATGTCTCATTCATCGGGACCAGACTAGATTACACATTTAAGCTCACATTTAGTTTGGTTTATCAGGCTACATTTTTTTAAAATCTCCTTCTAACCATTAGGGGGTGCTGCAGCATTACTAAGTCACACCTTTTCCACAATCTTGCCTTAAAGGAATAGTACACCCAAAACATGATTAGCCTTCATTTTCTACTCACCCCCATGCTGAACAACACTCTGGAGTACTTTTTTGATATCTCAAATGCATCTGGAGATCTGGGAGGCTTCTTGCTGTCTGCTGACATTCAAATAATGGAGGTCTATGGCGCCCGAGGCAGAAAGGTCCATAAAAGTCCACAAAAAACGTGTCAATATTCCTCCATACTGCTCGTCCAATGTATTCCAAGTGTCCTGAGTGGGTAGCGTCCATAATTTACTCGAAACGAAGTCATTTAGAATGTTTTTAGAGCATAAACAGTAGTGTATAGGATTTCCTGAAGGCGCGTTCACGAGTCTACGGAAACCGCGGCAGACCAAACCAGATGAAAGTGCGCATTCAGCTCGGCAAAGAACTCATGCTCTTCCTCAACACTGAAGTCATCAGACATTTTTCTTTCGTTGTTTCTTTCTTTGCACAGGTAAACAGCACATTTCTTCTTCTACGCTTGCATTATCGGCAGAGCAGACGCTGAATGCGCACTTTCGTCTGGTTTGGTCTGCCGCGGTTTCCGTAGACTCGTGAACGCGCTTTCAGGAAATCCTATACACTACTGTTTATACTCTAAAAACATTCTAAATGACTTCGTTTCGAGTAAATTATGGATGCTACCCACTCAGGACACTTGGAATACATTGGACG